GGCATGGTCATGGATGTCGCTCGTACGTCCATGATGCATGCGGCTGCCCCCCATTTTCTGTGGCCGTTTGCGGTGAGGTACGCGGCGCATCAGCTCAACCTTCACCCCCGGGTCTCTCGGCCAGCGATGTCCCCAGCCTTGCTGTGGACGGGGAAGGTTGGCGATGCGTCTGTGTTCCGTGTCTGGGGATCTCGGGCGTTTGTCCGCGACTTGTCTGCGGACAAGCTGTCCCCTCGTGCTGCTCCCTGTGTCTTCCTTGGCTTCCCCACTGACGCCCCAGGGTGGCAGTTTTACCACCCCTCCTCTCGTCGTGTTCTGTCCTCCCAGGACGTCACGTTCGACGAGTCAGTCCCCTTCTACCGTCTCTTCCCCTACCGCACTCCTTCCCTCCCCCCTCCCCCGGACTTCCTTGTGCCGGTTCCCCCCCCGGTAGACCCCCTCCCCCCTCAGGTTCCTGCCCCCTCAGGTGTGTCCCAGGTAGACGCCGTTGACCCGGTCGAGGTTACTGGTGACTCTGGTGCTGCTGCGGGTGCTGACTCTGGGGGTGCTGTGCGCGGGGGTGCTGAGCCTGGGGGTGCTACTGCTGGGGGTGCTGGGCCTGAGGGTGCTACTGCGGAGGGTGCGGAGCCTGGGGGTGCTGAGCCGGGGGGTGCTGTGCCTGGAGGTGCTGGGTCTGGGGGTGCTGGGTCGGGAGCTGCTGAGCCTGGGGGTGCTGAGCTGGGAGCTGCTGAGCCTGGGGGTGCTGCGTCTGGAGCTGCTGAGCCTGGGGTTTCTCCTGCTGCTGTGTCTCGCCGGGAGCCCCTCTCTCCACAGGAGCTGCGCGAGTGGTTCGCTCGCCGCTGGAGGCGTGCTGCTGAGTCTGGAGGTGCTGCTGGAGCTGGAGCTGGAGCTTCTTCGACCGTCGAGGGTGCGGGTGCAGCCGGTCCCGGAGCTGCTGGCCCTGCAGGTCCTCCTGGAGCTGGAGCTGCTGAGGGCGTTCGTGCTGAGCCTGCTGCTGTTGGTCCTGCCGCTGGAGGTGTGGGTGGCGCTGGTGCTGTCGCTGAGGGTGCTGGTGCTGTCCCTGCTGAGTCTGGAGCTGCCGCGCGGCCTCGGCCGTACTTCGTTCCGCTCCTTCAGCAGGTTCTTGGTCTTTCTCCTCCGGTAGAGGGTCCACCGCCTGTCCAGTCGCAGCCCCTACTGGAGCCTTCCTCTCCACTGCCTGCTCCCTCTCCTTACACTGGTCCTACTGGAGGTCTTGCTGAGCGTCGTGAGCCTGCGTCTCGTCCCGCGTCGCCTGTTCGTGCTGCTCGCGCTAGTGGTCGCAGTTCGCGTCAGCGTCCTCCTCCTGTCCCTGGCACGCACCGGATGTCTTAACGTCCGTCCACTGCTCCTCTGCGTGCCCCTTTGCCTTCTCCTCCTGAGTCCTCTCTTCTTGCGCTTGCGGACCCTGAGTCGGACTCTTTTCGTGCTGCCAGTCCCACTGTCACGCTTCTGCTTGCTACTGTCGTCACTGACCCCTCTTTTGAGTCCACTGCTGCGTCTGCTCTAGTCGCTGAGCTCGTCGACTTTGCTGCTCGCTGTCGTCTCGACTACGCTGCTAGTCTTGTTGCTGAGTCTGCGTCTGTCTGTCCTCCGTCCGTCGGGGGTGAGTGTGCTCTTGGCACGGACGTCCTAGAGGACAGGCAGGAGGAGTTACAGTGTCTAGCGGCTGCTTCACCTCATCTCGCGTCTGTACTGCTTGCCCCTGAGGGAGACCCGGATGCACTAGACATCCCGACTCCGCGTTCTTACGCGGAGGCCGTAGAGGGTCCCTACTCCTCTCAGTGGCAGGCAGCTATGGATGCAGAGATGGCTTCCTGGAAGTCCACAGGCACCTACGTTGACGCGGTTCCCCCTCCTGGGGCGAAAATCGTCAGTGGCATGTGGATCTTCAGGGTGAAGCGGCCGCCGGGCTCTCCACCTGTCTTCAAGGCACGGTACGTTGCTCGTGGCTTCAGTCAGCGGCAGGGAGTTGACTACTTTCAGACCTTCTCTCCCACCCCGAAGATGACTACTCTTCGGGTGCTGCTGCACATAGCCGCTCAGCGCGACTACGAGCTTCACTCTCTCGACTTCAGCACTGCGTTCTTGCAGGGTAGCCTGCACGAGGAGATCTGGCTTCGCCGTCCACCTGGCTTCACTGGGACTTTCCCTCCTGGCACCCAGTGGAGCCTCCGACGGCCAGTCTACGGTCTCCGCCAGGCACCGCGTGAGTGGCACGACACACTGAGGACTACGCTTGCGGCTCTTGGGTTTGCTCCTTCTACTGCTGACCCGTCGCTGTTTCTTCGCACCGACACTTCCCTACCGCCGTTCTACATCCTCGTGTACGTCGACGACCTGGTCTTTGCCACAGCGGACACTGCTGGACTCGCCTACGTGAAGTCCGAGCTGTTGAAGAGACACACGTGCACAGACCTGGGTGAACTGCGCAGCTACCTTGGCTTGCAGATCACTCGGGACAGAGCACGCCGCACCATTACCTTGACTCAGTCACACATGGTGCAGCAGGTCCTTCAGCGCTTCGGCTTCACGTACTCCTCGCCTCAGGCCACTCCTCTGCCTACTCGCCACTCACTCTCAGCTCTGCCTTCGGATGAGTCCATAGAGTCGAGTGGTCCGTATGCGGAGCTTGTTGGCTGCCTCATGTACCTGATGACCTGCACACGACCTGACCTTGCATACCCTCTGAGCATTCTTGCACGCTATGTTGCTCCTGGGAGACACAGACCGGAGCACATGGCTGCAGCGAAGAGGGTATTGCGCTACCTGTGCAGTACGTCAGGCATGGGGCTAGTGCTTGGAGGGCGGAGTCCAGTGGTCCTTACCGGCCACGCGGACGCTTCTTGGGCTGACGACCAGGCTACGCAGCGGTCGTCACAGGGTTACACCTTCAGCCTTGGTTCCGGCTCTGTCTCGTGGCGGTCTACTCGCTCGTCTTCGGTTCTCGGCTCCAGTTGTGAGGCTGAGATCTACGCCGGGGCCATGGCTGCACAGGAGCTTCGCTGGCTCACCTACCTGCTGACTGACCTTGGAGAGCCGCCTCGTTCTCCTCCAGTGCTGTACGTAGACAACAAGGCTATGCTGGCCTTGTGTCGAGAGCAGCGCTTGGAGCACAGAACGAAGCACATTGCTCTCCGCTACTTCCTTGCTCGTGAGTTGCAGCAGCGTGGTCAGTTGCGACTTGCGTACGTGGCCTCTGAGGCCAACACTGCTGATGTGTTCACCAAGGCACTTGCGCCTTGTGACCATCAGCGCTTCTGCACCCAGCTGGGTCTTGTGCCTGTCTTGCCTCACTTGCTCTCCTCTTGACTTCACTTGTACTGTGACATATATATATACCTGCTCTTGCTTGTCTAGCTTTATATATATGTCTGTACTCTTGCTTGTGAACTGGCCTTTGGCCTTGCTCTTGTGCTCGGACTGTGTGGTGACTTTGTGATCCACCCTGAGCTTTGCTTTGTCTTGCTTGACTGGTCTTGTGACCCCTTGTTCTCCCCCACTTTGCCTATGGGGGTGTGTCAGAACATATCTATAGTTTATACTGCTGTGTAGGCTGTAGTGGGGTATCTCATAGGGGGTACAACCCAGTTAGGGTTTCATATTTGTACTGCTTTCATTCATAGTTCATTCATTCCTGTCTTCCTATTTTCACAAATAGTGCCCATGACGCCAAGTCCGGACAACCCCACGCCACGTGCACAACAATTCGCCGAGATTCGGCAAGCTGCCCGCACCAGAGCCGCCGAAGCAATTAAAAGGCAAATATCATCGCTAAGCGCAACGCTGACCGCCATCGCTACCCTGTGACGTACAAGTCGGGAGACTATGTACTGCTCGACACACAAAACTTGAGACTGCCCGTCGTACCAAAATTACGACTACGCTTGATCACCCTAGTCATCGCCCATTTGCTGTTGCCGACAGACTGGTACACCAGCCCATTATTCCACGTCAGCCTGCTTCGCCCATACATCCCAAACACGAGCCAAATGCCTCGTCACCGCCCGCCATCCATGACTCGCCCTGCATCGGAGCCGATTATCAAGCCCGAAAAATTCCTGAGCCATCGGATTCGACACCCAACGGGAATCAGGAGGATTGAATTCCTCCTTCGCTGGAAGGACCGCACGCCAACGGAGGACAGCTGGGTGCCCCTGACCAGCATAAAAAACCACCCTGCCCTGCAAGTGTACATGAGGAGTCGGGATTTTTGCGACATACACGCACTCGCATAGCGGAGGGGGCTTCTTGAGGGGGGGGGGGGGGGGGGGGGGTAGTGTAAGAATTTTTATCGACATTCCTTAGCGCATCCTACAACATTGCGTACAGCAGCAGCCGTTGTTTGGCCAAACAGGGCTTCACCAACTTCGCGCGCACTGTTTCACCAAACCTCGCACTGCTGGCCCGGCCGTGTCGGCCTACACTTCGGGACTAGCCCGAACCTCACTGCCAACGTAGCACTAGCTAGCTCGCACGCACCGCGTTAGCGTTTGCATGTTTCGCGTATAAATGTTCGCTCATGCCTTCGCTCATATTTTGTACTCGTTTGACACTAAGTGCAATCCTAGCTACCTCGATTCATTGCACCCGTAACAGATGTAGTCAACACAGTTATATTTTAAATCTATTATTTAATGTACCTTAGTGCAAGTCAATGGGCACTTCTACGACTATCAGCATATACACGATCATTTACGTCGATTTGTTAGTCCGGTACTTCAAAGTTATGCAAACATACCCTATGATAAATTAACGTAAATTAGGTAATTACATACTGTTTATGTGCTGTTAAAACTACCGTAGTCACTATGTGAGCTAAAAGTCACTGATTCCTATAAGCCTCATTCCGTCTATGCTACTCTAGATGCGGTTGCTACGTACACTCTACTAGGCCTTTCCAACACTGAATTAAGCCAATCCACCGATACCAGGAGTATATCATAGTGCAAACTAGTATGATCCAAAGAGTAACGTTTATGTCAGCTCGTGTAACTCATGGACGTCTTCGACGAAAGAACACTCTTCAGGCTGAATCCCTTCTTTCTCCCTGCTCGTCCTGCTTCTCCTAACTCGCATGCACCGTCTTCGGCATCAGTCTTCGTGTCAATCCATGCACTAAACTCCTCCGCACCAGCCATGGCCCCTGACTCCAAGCCTCCAGAAGCACCCCTGGTATCGTGCCTTCGGGGTCCTAGCACAGGAGAGCTCCATATTCTAGGCGATCCCAATCCTCTACTGCTGCTGCCCTTGCCACCATAGCTGCTGCTGCCTCCGCCGCTGCTCTTTTGGCTGCTGCCCGTCTTGAAACTGAGAGACGCTCCTAAAAAGGGAGATCCAAGGGTCTTCTTGGCTCCACTGTTACTCACACTCCCCATCTCACTATCCTCCGTGGCAGTAACCTTGCTGCTCGTGCCATTACCATTCTTGCTGCCACTGCTACCACCACCTAAGGGAAAGCTTCCAAAGCTGTTGCTACGAACCAAGCGGCCTCCCATAAAAGGCGAGGAAGAACCCTTCTTCTCTGCACCACCGGACCCACCGTTGCTGCTGCTACCGTGGCTGCTGTGACTACTGTGGCTGCTGCTTCTCTGGTAGAGCTCGCCACTCTTCCCTCCACCGAAACTGCTTATAACATGCTGTGCACTGTAGATCTCCCCGCTCTTCCGAAAGTCATGGTGTGTGCCATGCCCTCCCCCCCCTCCTCCACCACCACTCTTCCGCATGAGGAGGCTGCTGACAATGCTGCGACGCCTGCTGTGGGAATCTTCAGCGCCAGCCTCCTCCATCCCTGTGTTCAAGTCCAGGTGGTCTGGGAAGGCCGGTGGTGCATGCAGGTCACTAAACGGCTCAAACATTGTGTGACCGTTACCCCCCCCGTCCTCACCACTGCTGCCTTGCCCCCAAGCGCTCACACCACCCTCATCCAAGTGTCCTGTCCCCTGGTTAGCTGCCTCTACGTCCTCTCCTCTTTCACCACTGCCCTCCCCACTGCTGCTCCCTGAAACCACCGCCGCTGTACCCCATTCTCCTGCCCACCGTTCTCCTTCTGCAACAATTGCTTCTCCCTCTGTCAGTGCTGCTTTAGGTTTGGATGGCAAGATCTGGCGGCGTCTGAAGCTCTGCCCCATCTTAACAGACCCTCGCAGGCGGGACAGCATCGCTGCTGCCGATGCCACTGCTCCAGGAGCCATTCTTCCCCGACTGCTGCTGCTACTGCTGTTGTTGGTACTGCCGGTGTTCATATCGCATTTATTTTCAAACTTGGTCCCTTTTTCTGTGGCCTCACCCCTTGATTCCCTTTCTTCCTCCTCTTCCTCCTCTCCCACCTCCTCCTCGTCCTCTTCTTCCTCCTCTTCCTCTTCCTCCTCCTCTTCCTCTTCCTCTCCCTCCTCTTCCTCCTCCTCCTCCTCCTCCACCTCATCTACCTCCTCTATCTCCTCTACCTCCTCGACCTCCTCTTCCTCCTCGACCTCCTCTTCCTCACCCTCCTCAGTCCCCTCCTCTTCCTCCACCAGCTCCACCACCTCCTCAATCTGCCCACTCACATAAGCACCTCTCATATTTCCCATTCCCATGTGACCCCGTGATTGCTGATTGGTGTTTACGCCGATACCAGCACTTAAAACAGAGCACGCCCCAAGGGAAATCCCTGCGTTACCCACCCTTCCTACTCCACCCATTTCTCCCAGTGCTCCCACTCCTCCTGACGATACAAACGCACCCCCAAGGCCAGCAATCTTAGCGGCTGAAACCATCGAAGCTGGGAGCACCACTTCTGCTTCCTGTGCTGATCCCCCTGCTGCTGCCTGTGCTGCTGCCTGTGCTTCTGCCTGTGCTACTACTGCCTGTGCTGATGGTGCTGCTGTCTGTGCTCCTCTCTGTGCTGCTGCCGCCGCCATCTCTTCGTTCCCATCGAATTCAGCAGCAGAAGTAGCAGCACGAGCGGCACCGGCACCAGCACCGGCAGCAGAGGCAGCAGCGGCTGCCACAGCTGCCGCAATCAGCGGGTCAGCAGCAGCAGGAAAGTGCGAGAGAGGGAGGGGCTTGGTGTGGGAGAGAATGGAGCGAGCAGCGAGGGCAGGAGGGGCCCGAGAGGAGGAGAGGCGTGGGGAGCTTGGGAGACGCACGAAGCCTCCAGTCTTGCTGCAAGCACTTGCGGTGCCGGCAGTGGAGCTAGCAGTAGTAGTGGTAACAGTGGTGGTGCCAGCAGTGGTGCTAGCACCAGTGGCACTAGAAGTGGTGCCAGCAGTCACTCCTGCCGTTGAGCTACCAGCCTTGCTCCCAACAGTGGTGACAGCGGAACTACTGCTGCTAAGAGTGAACCCCTTTTCGCCACTTCCTCCCTCCTCCTGCGCACTAATCCCCTCCTCTCCACAGGTCTCCCCCCCCTCCCCTTCAAGCTCCGCCCAAGAGCACAGGAAAGGGTTGCTGTTGGAACGAGGAATGCACCTGCTGCCATGGTCACGGTCAGCGGTCAGAGACTGCTTGGGCATCTCAGTACTGCCCTCGCTTCCCTGTAAGGCTTCCTGAACCAAGTCCTCTGGATCACCATTGGGTTCCCAAACTGGGATGAATGAAAACACGGGTTCTTTCAAGCTAGGCAGGAATGGCTTTTCGGGCCACTCAAAGGTCATCTCTTCTGGCTGAATGGGCCCTTGTTTCAATAAGGGTTCTTCAGTACTGTAACTGTGTTCCTGCTGTAAGGGCTCCTCGATACTATCCAGGAAAGGATTGTAGGGAGAGAACCCCAGGCTTGCTGCTGCTGGTGCTGCTGTAACCACGTCGATGGCAGCAGCAAGTGGGGTATCAGGCGAGGCATCAGTTGGGGCGTCAGGTAGGCCAGTGAAAAACGGATTCCATGGCTGGTCCATGCACGATGTTGCAGGTAGGGGGGAAGCAGTGGTGGTGTTGTCATCGCCACTGGCTGTTTCAGGCAGGGGGCAGGCGGGAATGACATCACCAGCGTTTATTACTGGGCAAGCAGGCGAAGTGGTCAGGTGCAGCGAGAGAGGGCGAGTGGAGGGAGAGGGAGAGGGTGAGGCAGTGGGGGAGGCGGTGGGAGTTACGAAAGGAGATTCTTCTCCTTGGTTCTTGACAGGAGTTGCAACGGGGCCTTGAGATTGCAAGGTAGAGATCACCTCCTCACCCGCCTCCTCCCCCCCCTCCTCACATGCCTCCTCACCCACTTCCACACACCACTTTACACACGCCTCCAATGTTGCTTCTTCACCCATCCCTTCTCCTGCCCCTGCCCCGGTTTCTGGGCCTGCCTCTCCCCCGTCTGGGCCTGCCTCTCCCCCGTCTGGGCCTGCCTCTCCCCCGTCTGGGCCTGCCTCTCCCCCGTTTCCTGCTTCTACTATGCGGTCTTCTTCTCTTTCCACTTCTGCTTGTGCTGAGATCCCATCCTCTTCCCCTGACCCAGTGTCTCCCTCTGTTATATCTGTCTCTGCCTCTGCTTTCTTTTCCTCCTTCTCACCCCGTTCCACCTCCTCTTCTCGCCTCTCCCTCTCACCCCTCTCCTTTTCAACCACCACCTCAGCCAACTCTTTCATCAACCATTCCACATGCTCCTCCAATTGCCTCCTCTCCTCCTCCCCATCCCTCAACATCCCTCTCAACCCCTTCACCTCCTCTCGTACCGCATTCACCTCCCCTCTCCCCCTCTCCCTCTCCTCCACTGCTTCAGCCAATTCTCTCATAAGCCTCTCCACACGCCCCTCCGCCTGCCTCCTTGCCTCTTCACCTTCCCGCACCTTCCCTCGCAATCTCCTAACCTCCTCTCTTATCGCATTCACTACCCTTCTCTCACCCTCTCTCTCCGCCATCTCTTCTGCCAGCTCCTTCATAAGCCATTCTAAATGCTCCTCCGCATGGCCCTTCTCCTCCTCCCTCACTCGCAGCCTCCCCCGCAAGTCCTCTAGTCCAATTCTCATTGCCTCCACCTCACCTCTCCCTCTCTCCTTCTCCTCCACAGCCCTTGCCAGCTCAGCAACCTTAGCATCCAGCTCAGCCACCTTACTCGCCAGCTCAGCCTTGAGCGCTACAATCTCCCCCTCAGTCTGCCGAACCTGCTCCTCTGCTTTGATCAGCTGCTGCTCCAGTCCCCGAACCTGCTCCGCTGCCTCAGTTGCCTTCTCCTCTGCCCTGAAAAGCTGCACCTGCGACTGATACCGAGCCTGCTTCCAAGCCTGTTCCCAAACCTGTTCCCAGACCTGTTCCCGAGCCTGCTCCCGAGCCTGTTCCCGAGCCTGATCCTCAGCCTGCAGAATCAGCATTGTGCTATCTAAAACCTGTCCCACTAGGCCCACCACCATCGCCTCTACCTCCCCCTGCCTATTCAGCCACACGCTCCCTGCTGGCACCCCATTCTGAAGTCCAATCTGCGCTGGTTCATCCTGCGTTTCATTCCGAAGTTCAGTCCGTGGTTCACCCTGCGGATTATTCTGGAGCTCGTTTTGCGGTTCATCCTGCGGTTCATCCTGGGCCTCACACACCACCGCACGCAAACAAGCACCCCCCTGCTGCTTCTCTCCCCCAGACTGTTGCTCATTCTCCTGTGCATTATTCACCCTCAACATCGCATCATCTAGCATCTCACACACCAAAGCCACCACCACCTCCTCCACCTCCCCTCCCTTCCATGATCTCCTCAGTCCCAGCTTCTCTTCCGCTTTTCCCCCTCTCTCCTCCCGTTTCCCCCGCATCTCCCCCTCCCCCTCCTCCTCCTCCGTCTCCTCCTCCTTCCTTCCCATATCCCTCATCCGTTCCTCGGCTTCCACTAGCGCTGCTCCAGCAGCAGCAGCCTTCCTCTCAGCCTCTGCAGCCCTCCCCCTCGCCTCCTCTGCTCTCTTCTCCGCCTCCTCCCTCTCCCTCACAGCAACTCTCGCCCTCTCTTCTGCCTCATCCACTGCTGCCAACGCCTCACTCGCTTTCCCCTCTGCCTTCCTCTGCTCCTCCTTTGCTCCTCTCGCCCTCTCCTCTGCTTCCTCCGCAGCTCTCTCACTCCTCCTCACGCTCTCAGTCACTACCTCTACTCTCTCCCCTGCCGCTCGCACACACTCTCTCAAAGCTTCACACTCCATCCGAACCACCTCTTCTGCTTCTCTCGCCCTCTCCACCTCCCCGTCTAACTCCTCCACTCTGCCCTCAGCAGCTTCGGCCCGAGCCTCAGCTTCGGCAAGCTTGGCTCGGGCCCGAACCAGCAGCTTCTCTGCTTCCTCCGCCTTCTGTTCCTCCTCCTTTAGAACAGCTTCAAGCTCGTTCAACTCTTCCCTTAACCCTTCAATCTTTACCTTCAGTATAACCACCTGCTCCTCTGCTTCTTTCACCCTCTCCGTTGCATCTTCTGCCTTCTTTGCTTCCACCTCTGCTTGCGCCCAAACCTCCGCTAACTCACTCTCCATTTTCTCTGCCTCTTTCCGAGCCTTTTCCCGAGCCTGCTCTTGCACGCTCTCCACCTCCCGAGCCACGCGAGCCTCAGCTTCGGCAGCAGCAGCCTCGGCTCTCACAGCCCTCGCCTCCTCCCGCTCCCTCCTCTCCCTCTCCTCCCTCTCCTTCCTCCTCAACCCCTCACACTCCCTCCTCAACTCCCCACACTCGCCCTTCAACGCATTACACTCCTCACTCAACCGCTCAGCTTCAGAAGTCACCAACCCCAGCCACTCCGCCTCTTCCTCCTTTGCTGCCTTTCTCACCTCAGCCCTCAGATCCGCCATTCTCCTTTCCAGCATCGCTTTCTCCCCTGCCAAGGCCCGTTCAGCAGCAAAAGCTCTCTCTTCTGCAAGCCTCTTTTCCTGCAGCATGCCTGCCACTGCCTGCTCCTCCGCCCTTTCAACCTCCGCCCTGATTCTCTCCGCAACCCCTGCTGCTTTCTCTGCTTTCTCTTCAGCTGCTGCGAGCTTTTTCTCCCATGCCTCCGCTTCCTCTTTTAGTTTTGCTTCCCATGCGTCCCGTACCTCTTTCAGCCTTCCTTCCCAAACCTCCCCTTCCTCTCTAAGACTCCTCTCCCACATCTCCCGTTCCCCTGCCCAGTTCCTCTCCCGTTTTTCCACTTCTGCTGTCAACTCTTGATTCCAGCTATAACGTTCATGCGCCACCCGTCTATCCCTCGCCCTCCCTTCCTCCTCCCACGAGCTCTTCTCCTTCTCCCACTGCTGCCTCTCAGCTTCAATCCGCCTCTCATACTCTTCCCGCTCCTTCCCGAACCTCTTTTCCATCTCTGCAATACTCGTCCGAGCCTCCTGCTCAGCCTCGGCAATCTGCATCCGAACCACCCTCACCTGCTCCTGCTCCGAGGCTTGCCGGGCCACAGCAGCCGCCATTGCCTCAGCAGCCGCCGAGGCTAGCTCCGAGCGAAGCGCCCGAATCTCCGCCTCAGCCTCAGCAGTCCGAACCTCTGCCAAACCCAAGCGCTCAACACTACCATCTGCCCGTCGCATCTCGCTCTCCCTTTTCTCCTCCGCCTCTGCTGCCCGTCTCTCTGCCCCTGCTGCTTTCTTCTCAGCTTCCGCTACTCTCCTCTCTGCTTCTGCCGCCCGTCTCTCTGCCTCAGGTGCTCGCTTCTCTGCCTCTACTGCTCTCTCCAAAGCCTTCCTAGCTCGAGCAATAGCCTCTTCCGCCTTCTTACTCTCCCTCTCTGCCCTCTTAGTCGCCTCAGCCACGGCCCTATCTGCCTCTCTCTTCACTCGCTTGATCTCGTCCGTTCGTGCCGCTCCAAAGGCTGCTGTTCCCCCACCTCCGCCCGACTGCCTTCTAACACCACTGCTGCCAAAGCTACCAGCACCAGCACCAGCACCAGCCCCAGCACCAGCACCAGCACCAGCACCAGCAGCAGCGCCACCAGCTCCATACCCACGGCCGGTTTTCTCATGGGACTTTCTCAAAGCATTCACTTGCTCCTTTGCTTTTGCTGACTCCTCCTTTGCCGCTGCCAGCTCAGCGCTCAGCCGCGCGATCTCCGACGTGGCGCTGTCCAGGTCAGCGCGCAGCGCCGCACAGTCAGCACGCAGAGCAGCGCACGCCGCCTCGCTTTCATCCGCCCGTTGCCTCTCGGATTCCAAGGATAGCTTTGTTGCGTCAAGGGCCTGCTGGGTCGACTGCAGGTCTAACTGGGTGCTTTCTAGTGACGCCTTTAACTGCGTGTTGGCCTCCTCGAGAGATGCCAGATTCTGTTCCAGGGACTGGGAGGAGTGAAGAGGGAAAAATGAGGAAGAGGAGGAGAATGAGAGAAAAAAAGGGGGAAAACAAGATAGCCGTCCCGGAATTCCTATACTTGGGATTTGCACCTGCAGCTCTTCTATTGTGATGGGCAATCGGGGCAGCACTGTAGCCAGTCCCGCCCGCCCACAAGCTACCTGCAGTTCTTCTGCTGTGATGGGCAGCTGGGGTGATAAACCCCGTTACCTTCGTAGAGACTCCCACCCAATGTTCTTCCTGTGGCTTTGTGGCCGCATTGAAACCCACCTGCAGTTCCTCTGCTGTGATGGGCAGGGGGGGGCGGCACTCTAGCCAGCTTCACCTGGAAAAGGAAGAGCCTACATTCCACTCACTACAAACCTGAAGTTCCTCTGCTGTGACTGGCAGCGGGGGGCGGCGCCCTAGCCAGTTCTGCCTGCAGCACCTCCTCTGCATGCACCGTGCCCACCCAGCCGGTTTACAGCAGGCGACTTTTGAGTCGACTCAAAAGTCTGTTCTGCCTGCAGCAGCGACACGTGCTGCCTCAGTCGCCGCACCTCCTCCGCATCCACCGTGCCCAGCTGGTTCACTGTGGGCCAATGGCACATGCAACCTTGCTGCTTAAACAAACGACTTACAGCTACCTTGCCAATAAGCCCCACCCGCCTCATATTCTTGCCGTGACTCTAGGCCCCTCTCACAACCCACCTGCAACTCCGCAGCCCACCTGTCCTCTCAGCCCACCTGTCCTCTCTGCAACTTGACAGCTTAGGCCCCTCTCACAACCCACCTGCAACTCCTCTGCTGTGATGGGCAGAGGGGGCGGCACTCTAGCTAGTTCAGCCTGCAGCAGCGAAACGTGGTGCCTCAGCCGCCGCACCTCCTCTGCATCCACCGTGCCCAGCCGGTTCACCGTGGGTCGGTTGCAGATGTTGCGCGCACGGTTGGCATAGCGAAGGGTGTTGAGACTCTCCTCTACGTTTGAATCCGTGGGGCTCACGCAGGCTGCGAAGACAAGTGGGAAAAACAAAGGAGAAAGGCGAAAGGAGGGAAGGTGTCAGTCTCAACAGGCAAGCCACCATGCCCAGTCGGTTCACGGTGGGTCGGTTGCAGATGTTAGCAGCCTGGTTGGCATAGAGAAGGGTGTTGAGACTCTCCTCTACGTTTGAATTCGTGGGGCTCACACAGGCTGCGAAGAAATGGAGGGAAGGGGAGACGCAGCAAGCGGAAAATGGTGAGGAGAATGATGGAAGAAAAGGAAAGGGTAAGACGTTCCTAGCCCATAAATCTCCATCTCATTCAGCTATCCGTACTTTTGACTGTGACTTAAAAAACAGTGTGGCTTTTGAGGCACCCGTCTCATTCAGCACTCCATAACTATAAAACCGGTGTGGCAGAATTCGTCTGAGGCACCTAAGAATCAGTGTGCATCTAGATCTGTGGCGCCTCAGACCTAGCAGACAGCACAGCTTACCTATCATGACAGTGCGACTGTTGCCTCCGAGGGAGTCCTGAAACGTAGGGTGGAAGGACAGTCGCACATAGAGAAGAGTGGGATGAAGTTAAGAGCAGTTTAAAGGATGGTTGAACCTTGTTCCAGAGTGGCTTTGAGTTGACCCGGAAGTCACCAGAATAGTGGGATTAGAGCTGAAACGGGCATAGGGATGATAAGATCGCGTTCGGATGGCGAGAAGGTTCGCAGCAAAAGAAGGAATTTATGTTTCTAGCACACAAGAAAGCATTTTCAGTTTGTGTAGCAAGCAACACACAAGCACAACACTCAGTCACGGCTTGAACACCCTTCACACCTGCAGCAGCCGCGTCAGCTTGCTATCTCGATACGGAACGTGCACCGGGATCAACGCTGCTGTAAACCCTGCACCTCCTCCCCCCCCTGCATCCTTCCTCCTCTTCTCATCGCTGCTGAGCGCACTGATCACGTTGCCTAAGGCCAGGAGACCCCTGTTGATGTGAATGCCTGCAGGGGGAGGGTGGTGGAGGTGGGGGTAGAGTATCAATCTATGAGTCAACAAAAAAGGAATCTCTGCTGAGCGCACAGATCATGTTTCCCCAACACCACGAGACCCTCATTCATGCGAATCATTACAGAGCATCCAAGCTCACTTCAGCTAAACACCCTCTAACTTGGTGTGTCTGAGTCGTGCGCTGCCTGCCAGGTCCACCGCATACACATTGCACCACATTGCCTGCCTGCCTGTTCAAACCAAACTTCTCTCCCACATTGCTCTCTCAGATCGCATCCTCGTCTTCTTCTCACATTGCAATACCTCCTCTCTCTCCGTCCACTCTCACCTTCTTTCAGCCAAGCGCCCTCTGCCTTGGTGCATTTGATCCATTCGCTGCCCGCCACCCTCCATCCCAAATGCACTCTATTGCTTCATCAACCCCACCTCTTCTCTCACATTGCAACACTTCCCCTGCTCACTCTCTCACCTTCCTTCAGCCGAGCACCCTCTGCCTTGGTGCGTTTGATTCGTTCGCTGCCCGCCAAGTCCACCAGATGCATTTTCGCACACAGATGCTCCTCATCCATCCGCCCGACCCCAAACAAAGCATTTTCGTCCTGCCCGAACAGCGCCATCCCGTCGGCTTTCCCCGCCCCATCTCCGCTTTCAAGCGAAGCTCTCCCACTGCTGCTGGAAGTGCCACTGGTGCTGGCGCTTAGGTAAGTACTCGTGGCGGTTGTCATGCTGGTGGAGAGACGAGAGGTGGGATCCAGTGGGACTGCTCGTCGCCTGAACTGATCCACGAATATTGTGAATATGGCGTGGGAACGACTGGTGGGAAGAAGGGAAAGGACGAGAAGAAAGGGAGAGAGAAAGGGGGGAAGGGGGTGATGGGGAGATGTGGGTCCAGCGGGACTGCCCTCGCCTGAACTGGTCCACGAATATTGTAAAGACGTGGGAACGACTGGTGGGAACAAGGTGAGTGGGTTAAAGAAAAGGGGAAGGCCGAGAAGAAAGTGAGGGAAAGAGGGGGGGATGGGAAAGGGAGAGGAGAAGAAGCAGGTACTCCTCCTTAGGAAGAATCGAATATGACGGTACGACTGGTGAGAAGGAGGAATGCTGATAATGGGAAGACTTAGAAAGAAGTGGGAATCCACTACCATCCCGTCTGCACATAAACCCTACACAGACCCACCTGGACCGCTGGTTCAGGTTGTGACTGCCTGTCGCCCGGAACAGCAGCCCATGCTCCAAGCACGCTATAGCCTCGTCCCGTGTGGTAACCACCTGCTCTGTAACCCCTGTGAGGGACACCCCTCCCGGCAGCTCCCGGATCGCCACAGTCTGCCGAGGCGGCGGCGCCGGGCCTAGGGGCGCCGGCCCTGAAGGGGAGGCTCGGGCCGCAGCAGCGGCAGCAGCAAGGGCAGCGACGGTGGCGGGCGAGGCGGAGGAGGGGGTGGAGGTGGGGAAGGGAGCAGCGAGGAACTCTAGAAGGTCGTGTATATCGTCCTTGTGGATCTGAGTGGGAGGGGGAAACATGAGTAGTGTTTTGAGTCGACTTAAAACATGGAGGGAGGGGAGGAGGTGGGGAAGGGAGCGGCGAGGAACTCTAGAAGGTCGTGTATATCAATGTGAGTCAAACAGTATCAGAGCTTTGTTCGTCTCTGGCCCCAGCCACTGACCCCACTGAGCCGTAGTGGGCGAGATCTTCTACACGCTGGAAGAGAGATTTGACCTCCCGCCTCGCCACGCCCCCTCCCTTCTCCACCGACGCTGGACTCTCAGCCCCTCTTTGAGTTGACTAAAAAAACCCACTGATCCCTGATGGCCCCTCTGACCCCACGCACCCCACGCACCTCTATGAGAGAGACTCGGATCTGGAAGCGAGAGCAGTGGGCGAGGTCCTCTACATGTTGGAAGAGGGAGTTCACCACCCGCCTCGCCACCCCTCCTTCCTTCTCCACCGACGCTGGACTCACAGCCCCCAATGCACTGCCACTTGTGGTGCTCCTCCCCTCCCTCCTCTCACCGCTGCCGCTGCCACTGCTCCCACTGCTCCCAGTGCTGCTATTGAACTTGTTGGGGCTGCCACTCATACTGTCGCTGCTATTCAGACTCTCGTCCTTGCCAGTGCTGGCACCACCACCACTGGTGCTGGTAGCTGCACCGCTGCTGTCTGTCTCAGCAGCAGCAGCCGTGCTCTGAAGAGCTGTGCCCATGGTGTACGTCTTGCCTGACCCGGTCTGCACGCTCACAATGGATGGATGGGAAAGCAATGAGAGAGGGGATGGTTTCATTAGCAGGAGTCATTGATTGGAAATCATTCTTCTCACTTCGAGCAGCAGCCGTGCTCTGGAGAGCCGTGGCCATGGTGTACGTCTTGCCTGACCCGGTCTGCACTTTGAGGAGGGAGACAAGGGAGAAAGATGGGGAGAGAAAACGGTTCTACTAGCAGCAGTAACGCTTCAAAGCCGTCATGATCATCTGCTATGGAAGCGGGGGTGTGTGATGGTGCCATCAGCAGAGCAGCAGCACAAGCAGTAGCCGTGTGCGAAAGTGCAGAGTTCTGCCCATGCACGGGCTACGTAGTGTGGTGTGAGCGTTTTAACCCCCAACAGGTGTAGCGTTACATACCTCTCGCCTGCCCGTACGCGGAAACCGCAGCTTTGTAACCAACAGGCACTATCTTTCTCACCTGTCCACACGCGAACACAGAAGCGTTGTAGCCATCAAAGAGCCCGCGCACAAGGGGCATGATGCAGTCGGCAAAGAGCTGCGACATGGGCGGACCCGTATGTGAAGACCGTATCCTTGTTTCCATCAATTGCACTCTCTCGCATGCACCAGTCACACTGGCTCACCTGCCCGTATGCAAAAACGGTGGCGTTGTAACCATCAAATAGCCCGTGCACGAGGGGCATGATGCAGTCGGCAAAGAGCTGCGACATGGGCGGGCCCGTCCCTCCGTACACATAGTCGTATGTGAACACCCAGTCTGGCGAGACATGCACCTGGTGGGGGAGATGGGGGGCGGATGCATGACGGATAGAATGTGACACTGCCCTTCTGTCCCTCCGTACACATAGTCCTATGTGAACACCCAGTCTGGAGAGGGGAATGGCATAGTAAGAGGGGAGGCAAGAGAGTGGGAGGAAGGCAGGAACGGGGGTGGGAGGCATGAAGGGGCGGGGACGCATAAGGAGCACGTGGGGGAGTAAGAGCAGGGGGGAGAACAAGCGTGGAGGACAAGGAGACAATTAACGCTGGCAGCAGGATTCGATCCCGCACCTCTGGTTTGCCTCCAGGCGGGACCTTGATGCACTCCACGCATCTAGCAGCCATTTCGTGCGGCACCATAGGGCGCACGTTCACTGCCACAGTCACTGCCGACCCCACCGCTGCTGCTGTCCCTCCTGCTGCTGCTGACGTTGACACTGTGTCTGCTTCCACCTCTACTGTTGCGCGTCCACTTGCACTCGTTGCAGCTGTTGCAGAGTCTGCTGATGGAATCACTGCCGCTTTTGCTGATGGCGCTGCTGCTGCTTCGGCTACTGCCGCACCCACTGGTGCTCCAGCTATCAGTCTTGCCGCCTCCCCCGTCGGCACTACGGCTGTAGCGGTTGTTTCGTCGTCCCTTTTTGCTGTTGCTGCAGCAGCAGCAAACTTCACTGGCCTGATTGCAAGCAATGATCCAGCCACTGCGGACCCTATCACCGATGTTAGGTTTGCAGCAGCTGCTGTTGCCCCTCCTGCTGCGGTTGCTGCTGTTGATGGTGGTGGCGGTGCTGCTCCTGCTGCTGCGGCGGCTGATGCTATTAAACTTGCTGCTGCTAATGGTGCTGGTGCTGCTGGTGCTGCGGGTGCTGCAGGTGGTGCTGGTGCTGCTGGTGCTGCGGGTGCTGCGGGTGCGACGACCGTGGGGGCTATTGGCCCAAGCTTTCCGGTCGTTACTGACACCCCTTGCCTCATTGCTTCTGCCGACTTTCCCGTTGGTCCTTCTCCTGCTGCTTCCCCTCCAGGCACTGCAGCATTTCCCACTGTGATCCGTGGCAGTCCTGTCTCACCAAATCCAGTTCTCTCGTTAGGCCCCTTCGTTACAGTCATCCTGTCAACCCACCCGCCTGTGCCCACTGAAGAAGTCCTTCTAATCGATGTGCCTCCCTGACCAGTTTCTTCCGCGGATGCTGCCCCACCTCGCCTCGCCCCTCCTTCCTTCCACCCATCTCCACCACTCGAAGCTTTCACCGCTATCCCCGTATCTTTCCCCTCGGCCTCTTCAGCCCACGTAGGATTGCGATTCTTCGTCTCGACTCCCACCACGCTCGCCTTTCCACTGCATCTGCTGGTTCCACTACCACCGCTATTGTCACTGCCTCCGCTGACCCCACCACTACCACCACTAAAGTCACTGCTTCCACTGGCCCCACCACCACCATTCTTCTCACCACGTATTCTGACGCCACTACCACCGATACTGTCACTGCTTCCGCAGCTAACATTACTACCACCACCGTTATTCTCACCCTCGCCGCTAGCCCCACGAGCACTATCTCGTGATCCTGCGAGCTTTTCCAAACCTGCTGTGACTTTCACGCCTTGACTGCGGCCCTGCCAGCTCAGCGTCGGCCGCTCCGTCCGCTCCTCCCGCTGCAGCTCGACAGAAGGAAGGCCGTTTCGCTCAGGACGTGACGTCACGGGTGGTACAGGACGTGCCGTCACGGATGGCACGGGGCTCTGCTTTCGATTCCGATCGGGGATAGCGCTCACGACGGGTGTGGGACTCGCTTTCCGCTCCGGTCGCGAGAACGTGGGTGTGGAGCTCCGCCTTCTCTCTGGTGGAGTAAACGCGGGCGTCGAATTCGTCTTCTTCGCTGCTCGTGACGCCGTTGCGGTCGCTCCATCAGCAAGCTTCGCGCTGAATGCCGGAACGAATGAAGCAGCCACCGCTCGCATGGCTTGACCGGCCGAATCGGTTCCTGAATCTGTAGCTTCCGCCAAAAAATTGGACACCGTTGGACCCAAGGACTTGAAGCTACTGGGTGGGGAAGATGGCGGCGTGGCGGGTTTCAGGACAGGCGGCGGGATAGCAGTAGACGGTTTCAGTGCAGGAGACGGAATTGAAGTGGACGGCTTCAGTGCAGGAGAAGGGATAGAAGTAGACGGTTTCAGTGAAGGAGAAGGGATAGAAGTAGACGGTTTCCTTGCAGGAGACGGGCAAGACGTAGACGGCTTTTGTGCAGGAGTTGGGATAGCAGTAAACGGTTTCAGGGCAGGAGACGGAATACCAATGGACGGTTTTACAGTATGAGAATGGATGACTGTAGTGGGAGCCGCTATAGGAGCCGGTGTTGTATAGGGTGCTACAGTTGGTGCTTTACTAGTAACGCGGCCTTCCCGTTTTCCAGGAATGTCCCTTCTTGCGTCCTTTCCCAAACCTTCCTTCGGCTCCTTATCCGGGCTGTCCTTAATGAGTGCCGTGGGAACCGCCGGAAACTTCAGCGACCGGTTTGCTCCCCTGTCAAGCGGTGTCGGGGATGCCGGCTGCCGTCTTGGTGACGGAAACCGTCTGGGAGACGGTAAGCGCATTGGCGACGGGTGCCGTTCCGGCAGTTTAGACGGTGGAGTTGGATTCCCTCCTGGGAGCGGCCGGCTACTGCCCGCTTCTGTGGGAGACGAGCATGAAGATTTCGGACCTGACCAGCCGAACCGCTCGGGTGATGCGGGAATCGCGGTGATCGCCATTGCACTCTATTAGGACCAATACTGACCCTCAGAAGCAATGGCGGACCCCTGCTGCAGGACGGACTGTTAAGCTTACTAAGGACTATACCTACTAGGTTGGCCTCCTAGTAGATACGTTATACTGTATTCTGGCCTACCTATCAGCTGCCAATGTTATCTTGACGACAGACTCGTCGACAACGTCAGTTTCTTGAAAGAGCGCCGACATTATGGAAGAATTGCACGAGGAACCTAGACATTGAGGCTCCGTCAAGCATGTTATAAGTTCTGATTAAACGTTATCTGAGCTGAATAAGCATGAGGTCGTCAGTGCTGTAGCTTAGTAGAGGGTGGTTGGGTTTTGCGCTATGGAATTGAGTTCCAGACGAAAGTGAGCTTTGAGCGACGAGAAACTAGACAAGGCGAAGACGACTCCGTTGCGGAGGCGATGAAGGCCTCGGTGGTGGTGTGGAGATAGCAAGTGCAGATTCTTCTACGTTTTGGGCGCGAATATTGAGAGGGATAGAAGGGAGGAGAGAGGAACAACAGGACGGGAGCAGCGATGTGAGGTGAGGAGCGATTGAAAGGGGACTTGGGGATAAGCAACTGCGGGAGAATGATGCGAGGGAGGGAAGGACTCCATGCTGGTATCGAGAGGTGAGGTGGAGTGAGGAGCGGTTGGGTGGGGACTGGGAGAAAGACCTGTAGTGCAGTCCACAGGCTTTGGAGAAACTCGAATCGCCTACATACAATGCTGTTCCCGCCAAACCAATTGTTTGACCAAATTTGTCCGCCCGAGTTTTCGAGCAACGGCTACCTTCGGCATTCTAATTATGAGTCGCCTTACTTAAAGCCCAAGGTCAGCATGGCAAAGCGTTTTCTGTTTATAGGGCCTTAGGGCGTGTAACCATTTTGCACTCGACGGAACGAACCGTGGACCGTACGTCGATGCGAAGGGTTACCATTTTCGTTTAATGTCGTGCAGTTCTTCGCGAGGATGTGTGCGACGTCGCTACAAATTCGAACCGTCACGACACTTTTTCCACTTTCCAACGACACGAAACTTTGACAACGGACGGTCCGAAACACAAACGGACTGTCCGCCTGTCCGCGCACGTGATTGGCGGGCGAATTTGGATTTCAGCGGACCGCCTCGCCAAAACATTGAAAAATGCGACTCGGATTCAAAATTTGACACTGACCAATCACAACTACCCTCACTACACTACAAGACGCCACGACATTGACCCACTCTACTCACTACTCTGCACAATGGATCCATCTAGCTACGCGCAGAACACCCAGTCTGTTTACACCACTCCCAACTCCCCGCCACCGGCCTCTGCCAATACGACCACTCCTGCCACAGCTGGGCCCGAAACACAAGAGTCCCAGATACCTGATCGTTCCAACACGCCGACAGCTCCTTCTACCACTCCCACCGTCACCCCTGCTGACTACTGGGTTTACCAAATCCCCTCCCCGTCTGCCTCCTACGACGGCGACGATGACTACGGACTAGGTGCCGCATTTGATGACAACGCCGCGCCGGGAGAGGTTGAAGAGGAACCCGCGGCACAGCCGACGATGCCAAGAACCACCACTGCCGCTGCTTCTCGCCACTCCACTGCCAGAAACTCGCCACGCTGGACCCCTGAGGAGGAGTGCGAGGTGCTGGCGACGTTCATCGACCTCGACTCGCAGATCCACGCACGGGAGTAGCTCGCCAAGGCACACAAGTGTAGCTTGTGAGAGCGTATGCAGCGTCCGTTACTAGCATGTAGTTCCCCAACTCGCCAGCCTCTAAGCGCTGTTTGAGCGGGGAGTTAGTAAACACCCGGGAGTCGTTGACGCTTCCGGGGTATCCCGCATTGTAGTCCCAGATGATTCCGTTAGAGTCACATGCTATCTGTAGGATTATGGAGTAAAAGCCCTTCCTGTTTTTGAAGTCCTCCTTGTCTCTCCCGAACCCACGGCACTCAATATACGTCCCATCCAGAGCTCCTATGACGCCTGGAATACCGCCCTCGTAACGAAACTCTTCGGCGATCTCCGCCATCTGCTCGGCGGAAGGGTGAGAAACCCAGAGAGGGAGTAGATCGTCCACTATGAACGCCATAAAGCCCTGCACAATCCTCTGCACATGTTGAGGCACGACCCCAAACTGCAGGCCGAGCTGGCGGAACGTTGCGCCTGTGCCTAGATAAACTAGTGTCATAGCGACGCACGATTCTACAGGTATCACGCGCTGGCGGTCACTGTTCCTACTGATCCAGGCTTCTACCAAGTAGTCGAAAACAGCACGGTTAACGCGGAAGGTCTCTGTGAAAACCCGACGAGGCATTCCACCAAGAAGATAATCCCACCTCTCCCTCTGACTCTCACGGTCCCGTTGCATGATGTGGCGGTCCTCGTCATCGAGCAGTATGATAATCTCTGCAATGTAGTCGAGCCCTGGTCGGACAATAAACTGTTGGTAACCTCTATACAAGAGGTGTAGTACAGATAGTAGGTGGCGGCGCGACATACGCTAGTGCAGAGGGATGTCTCTGCTATAGATAGTGGGTTGTTGTGACCCTCTAACTGCGAAGGGCTTGGTGTGGACGGCCTTTGTGCTTGTT